TGTTTAGATCCACAGTTACCAGCACTTTTCCTTTCTTTTTTTTTTTTAATTTGGCCAGAATGTACTGTTATATTCACAGTGTAAGCATTGCTATTCAAGTGCAACTTTTCAGACACCAAGAGTTCAACTAGCATCCTCAAATAAACATTTCCCCCCCAAATGGTGACAAGATTAGAAAGGTTACAATCCATACAATACCAAAATAAGCTAGCCTTCATTTTGTTGGCCTGGTCCAAGAACAAGAAAAAAAAATCAACGGTAGGAAAACATTTTCCATATGGTCTTGTTCCCCAAAGGTTGAGGATTCAGGTCAGGGGCCACCCTGTGAGACCATGCACTCCACATAACCTCCATTCTCAAGCCAAGACAATTAAGACCGCTCCCACAGCGGCCCCATTTCCAGCAATTGAACACCGGCATAGGAACAGGGTATGGTAGTGGAAGGTGGGAAAAAGAAAACCCAACTTGCAAAACCATACAACTTTCTATTTTTTAAATTCAGTGTTCTTTTCGACTTTTGTTAGGGGCTAGAAATGAATGCAAATGCATCTCCATCTCTAGAGAGCATTCTCTTAAAAGTCACATCACTGGTAAGAAAAACTCAAGGGGGCCAGTCAGGACCTCAGAAAAAATAAAATCCCCTGGTTTGTGGCCAGATAGCAACATCCAGGTAGGAATCTAATACAGACATCATACTTGGATGATGACAGGAGACTGTCAAAATAACATGGACACTGTAAACACACTTTTTAAATAAAATATATATAATCACATTTAGTATGTATATACACACATATATATGTATGTATATATATACATATATATACACATATATGTGTATATATATATATACCCATGTTCAATTTTTCCTTAGTCATATTCCCCTATCATTAAGATCATCCAAAAGTGGCTAAGGACTCACCCCAGATGTGCATTGCTATGGTTAAGGCATCAACCCCGTAACTCAGATATTCTATCAGCAAGAAATATACACTGTGTTATATCTGCTGGGCTTAATCACACAATAGGAAAAAGCTTAACTCACCAATGCACACACATTAACTTGACAAAATCAACCACAAAACCTTAAGGATCTTGTTAGCTTGCTTTCCTGAAAGACAAATCCTCACACGAAAGCAAAATCATTACACCTGTAGCAGAGGGGCTCAGAAAGTTAATGGATTCCTGAAGTATTTTTCCTGTTTTTAATCTGAAATCCTTTCCAAATAGGACAAGTCACACTATCACTTTGTTTTTGCTGAATAGGACAACACTGTATTATAACCTTGATCCTGCAAGGACTTTGTGGCTTTAATTCCTACACTCCCACCTCCTTGGCAGAAAGTGCCCAGGCAATATTTACTGTAAACAGGCAGAAACAAAGCATACTCCAGAAAAAGTCACCCTCTGAAGTCCAAGGTTGGAAATCACCAAAAAACAGGCTCTCCAGGTAGAGAGGTGGCCTACAGAAGGCAGAATCAAGCGTTCCTGAGAGGAGTTCTGTTAGTACCGATCATTCTTTAGTAGTTCAACAAGAGGCAAGCCTCAAGTGTGGCCGTACATTGCAATCACCTGGCTTTTTA